GCACTCTACCCAGGGTGATAGCTTGAGACTCTGTCTCAAAAAAAAAAAAAAAATTTTTTTTAAATTAAAAATAAAAAAAAACTGCTTGTGTGAGTGTGTGATTGTAGCTGAAACTCACAATTCACGTCCCATGAACAAGTCACTATTCTGTATTCTGCATGTACGTAAACTCACAACAATCCAGTACTAAGAGCCTCATTATTAGCCCCATTTTACAGATAAGGAAACTGAGGCACAAGAGGCGGTCATTTGCCCCAAGCATGCCAGATTAGCATGCAGGCAGTCTGGTGCGCACTGTTAGCGGCCTGCCTCTGTACTGTCCACACCCTCTGAGACCGACTCCCCAGTGGAAAGGCCCAGTCGTCTAACACGTTTACACACAGAGCACCTATTACCCATATGACGGATCAGGGCTGATACCTGAGAACACACTTCACAAAAGACACCTATGACCAGTCAAGGAAAGCCTCGCATGTCCTGAGGGGCACCAACAGGCCCACATGTCCCTGCCTCACCCCCCATAAAGTGCCAACAGGGTTCTTTCCTCCTCTTGTTTTTAATTGGAGAGAGATCCTAAAGAGTTTCAAAAATATGTAAGACTATCCAACAGAATGTGAAAGTGAAAGCAGTGGTATGTGAAAGGGGCGGGCAGGGGAGCAGGCACACCACCTGGTGTGTCCCCAACCAGAAGTGGCAACAGCCCAACAGACCAGGAGAGGAAACCCCAAAGCAGACCCAAACACACATGGGCCTCAGGACTGTGACAAGGTGGCGCCCCAACACAGTACAGAACAGAACACTACAAAGACTACTAGTGCCACATCTGGGTGGCCGTTGGAACAGGAGCAGCTGGTCGAGGGCAGGAGGGAGGTGCCATGGGCAAGAGCTGCTGCGGCCCCAGATGAAGCCTCCTCCACCACACACGACACAGTGACCGCTCCATCCTAGGAGAGAACGCCTACTTGGGCACAGGAGTAAAGCCTGGCAGACTGGGACTACTACCCACACCCCTGAGGGGGCGTGGCCACGGCCACTCACTGAGAACCTCCCCGCAGAGCTGGCCACCTGATGCAAAATGGACAAAGACCAGGAGTAGAAAGTTCACAGAAATAGAGACACAACCGGCTTTTAGAGATGTCCAAGCTGTGTCAGGTCAGGAAAATGCAAACTTCAACTGCAAAGGCCTACCGCACTTCAGCTAGCAACCCATATTGTACCACAGTGCCACCCTGCCCCGAAAGACCCAGCAACGGGCTCAGCAAGCAGTGTGCTGCTGCCTATGGTCAGCGCTGGGGTGGGGCAATGGTCCTTGTCCTCTGGGTGCTTATTCTATGTGTGGCTCCAGCTATTTCGGGCAGGGCCACCACTGGATAAGAAAGATAGCAAGACAGGGAAGGGCACGAGTCCCTATGCCACTGTATTCCTCATGAGAATCCTTATCTGAAGGCAGAGGGACAGGCAGCTGGCACAGGCACCTGGCAGGTGTGGGCTGCAGTCAAATGCGTCAGTAATGCCAAGATGCTAATCCTGGGGTGAAGCGGGGGAGAGGGTTAGGAAAGGACCCCAACTCCCGACAGGGAGTGCAGAGGCAGAAGATGAGGTCCCAGAGGACAAGCAGGGCCTCAACCTGCTGAGAGACCTGCAAGGTAGGGAGGGCAGGAGGGCGGCTCCAGGAAGCAGCAAGCACAAGGTCGGGGCAGGGGGCGGCCAGTGACGCCTCCCAGGAGGGCAACTTCAAGAAGAGGCTGAGGAATAAATAGAAGACAGGAGCCAAGACAGGCCGTGTTCCTGCCCTTTGTAATGGCAGAAATTACATCCCAGGCAGCCCTTTACCACACCCCTTCCATACATGACAGACTGGCATCTGGAGGGAAGTCCAGGAGCCACGGAGGCACCACTTGAACCGTGAGCAGTGTATCACTAAAGCAAGGACTGCAGACAAAGGGACAGACTGCCAAGGACTATTGGTACCTGTTCACACCAAGATGTGTCTGCTTTATCTGACCAAGGCAGAGAGACAACTTTACAGACTGGCCTGACAGGGTCTCCCTGGGCTCTGAAGAGCGGGACCAGCCATGAGCCTTCTCTGCCAGGTGGGCTCAGGACCTGGGCAAGGCCATTACAGCTTCAGAGGGCAGGTCACAGCCCCTAGGGAACAGGCCACCCTTAAGTCAGTGAGAGTGAGCTGCAGAAGGGCTCAGAATCTCAACAGCCAGAATTCCTCAGAGGACTTTAAGGAAATAAAAAGCAAGGCTGGGCGTGGTGGCTCATGAGTTTGAGATCAGCCTGAGCTAGAGCAAGACCCCAGGCTCTAAAAAATAGCCGGGCACTGTGGCAGGTGCCTGAAGTCCCAGCTACTTGGGAAGCTAAGGCAAGAGAATCTCTTAAGTTCAAGTGTTTGAGGTTGCTGTGAGCTGTGATGCCTCTACCAGGAGCAAGAAAGTGAGACTCTGTCTCAAAAAATAAACCAATAAATACACAAAAATAAAGAAGTAAAAAGCAAAACCTGCACATTATTTGATTATATTAGATAATACGATATACCTGTATATAAAATACATATGATTATATATGGGCATATAATACATATCATCTATATAGTGGATGAGCGATCCATGTATTACACCACACACCATCTCCACCTCTACGCAACATATAAAGGGAAACGCACGCTTTCTCAGGTGGCTGTGGTATTAACTACACACACAGGTGACAGGGGTCTGACCCAAGACTCCTGCACCTGCCACAGCTCCAAGCCTGATGTCTGCCCTCAGCTCAGCTCAGGGGTGATATCCCACCGCCCCTCCCATCCTACCACACCTCTCAACACATGAGGCTTCTGGACAAACTTGACTCGCTGTGGCTCTAACTGCTAATTTTAACTATGCTTCATTTTCCCACACAGCAAATTTGGGGCACCTGTGTCGCCACCTCCATAGCACTGTAGTCATACCGCAGATATGGCTGGAGCCCCGCTCTAAACACAACAAACGAGGTGTGAGGACAGCACCCTTTCTCCTGGTGGAAGGGATGAGCCCATGGCCAGCCCCAGCACGTCAGCAGCCTGTCTTCTTCCCAGGGACTAGGCTACCAGCAGCCCACCCGACAGGGGTCTCTAACCTGGGCCAGCAACCGAGGAAGATCTCACCCAGATGGGCATCAGCAGACACACGATCATCTCCTAAGCGTACATAAGATGGTGCTTATCCACACCAGATGAGAAAGCAGTCCATGGCTTTACCCAGATTTTCAAAGGAATCCATGACCCAGAAGAGGTGAATAATTAGCCTAGTCTGGACAAGGCACGCTCACATGACTGGTGAAAAGCAGTTTTTGTTGTGACATGGTTATTACATAATCTTCTCCTAATTTTTTTTAGAGTGAGTCTTCCCTGTAGTTAGTTGAACAATTTAGTTTCACACAAGAGAAAAAAAAGGCCAGCAGAAAAAAAGGAAACAAGAGATGGACAGACTCTAGGTTTAGGAAGACTGTAAGGACCAACCCAGATCATTATAGAGCTGGGATTTTTCTGGAATTCATCAAACACATACTTGGTGATGTCAGGAAGTAATGCTCAAACCACATTTTCTAGACCTGATCCCAGAGGCATGAACGAAAACAAGTAAAACAATTGTCATTCTGTCAAGTAAATTAAAATCCATCAGGCAAGCAGTGGTATCTGGAGGTGAGTCCCTGGGAAAATGTTACTTACTTGGCTAGCCAGGGCGACAATGGGCTTGTGTGGAAACAGCTCACAAGTTTTGAAAAGGAACCCAGGGCAGACCCAGGCAAGGAAACACTGAGCTAAGAAAAAAAAAAAACAGACTCAGCAAAACACAGGTTTCACATTTCACAACCAAAACATTAGAATCCTCCAGATAAAACTCTCATCCAATCTGCACATTAGGTTGAAAGAAGGCCCTGGGGTGGCCTCTTGCCCTATTCCCTGCTCTTCACCAAGTCTGGCACTCAGGGTCACCACTCTGCCTGCCAGGTGGTCAGAGATTACAAGAGCTGCTTGCTGGTCACGGTTCACAGAAACCAGATCTAACAAACACCCCACTTGCCAGGCCTCTCATAGCAGACACACCAGCAAGACCTGAACACATCCCCAGTGAGGTCACAGCTGTGACCTGACCAGCCAGGCCTGCTCTGGGCTGTGTTTCTCAGCTACACTGGCCAAGGCAGTTCCTTCCTCCTGCCCCTGCCCAGGACCCCGAAGACAGGGAACCACACCAGGAGGCTGTAGGGCAAAGGGCCCTCCACGTGCCCAGGGAGGCCATGCAGGCACATGTGCTAGAGGCCAGTCACCACTGGATGACCAGGCCCCCCACGGAAGGCTGTGGCCCTCTCTGACCTTTCCTGACAGCTCCTCTCTCTGGGGGTCCTGGTAACTGCTTTCCTCCCACACCCTTGGGCCTGCCAGGCCTAAAAGAATGGGGACCTCACTTCACCCCTCCTGGCTGATGTTCCTAGACCTTGCCCACCCAGAATGGCCCTGCCATTGACTCTTCTCTATAGCAGATGCCATCTGCTTCCTGGCTGCACTGGGACCCAATGACACAGACACTAACCCTACTCCATGACACCGAGGGGTGCTCACGCACATAGGCACAGTCTCCACTGGCCCATGAAGGTGTCAGTGATAAAGACTTTACCCTAGAGACAACTGTGAAGGAGGGACGTTAAAAAGTTCTTGACCACCTTGCTGACAAATCAAGAGTAGAGCCATCAGCTCTGAAGCTGATTCTAAACTGCAGGACAGTAGCCATGCAGACCCGACTCCAGATGCCCAGCTGGGGGCCTGTGTGCCCCAGGGCCCAGCTTACACCACCCACACGTGTGCAGTGACTCAGGACGTGTGCAGTGACTCAGGACGCTGCACAGAAAACGGAGCTGAAAGGCACCTCCAGGAAGCTGGCCGTGTGAGCCTATTCAATGCATCTCAGCGATTTGCTGCAGAGATGGCAGCATGCTTACCTCATGCCCACAAAGTGGGAATGAAAATGCCCACAGTACACAAAGTACAGGGCAACAAGAGAAGATGCCCTGGGGACAGTGGAATATGGCAGCCTTGGCTTAGCTTAGAGTGCTGGGGTGGGGGTGGGGGGGCTGGAAATGCACCTTTTGTGTATGAAACTTTACTGCAATTAAGATATACATGTAAAAAGAAGTCAAGACCTACAGAAGAAAAGGTAAGAAAGAATGGTGTGAAGAAGGGTTGAGAAAATCTGGTTTGGGGCCTCAGACAGCTGCAGACCAGAAGGACGTGAGCCACACAGGTCAGGCCCTGTGTACTGCCAACACAGCACCCCTAGGCCCCCCGCCCAACACATGCCACCTGAGAAGACTGATGTGACTGGTCAGAGGTGGCTTCACAGGGGCTTCATCTCCCACACTGCTGTTACCTGCTGAGGGCCCAGCCCAGTGCCAGCACACAGTAGGAGCCCAATCAATGCCTCCGAGACTAGGCAAGCAGCACTGCCAGGAGAAAGGAGCCAACCCCCGCAAGGCCCTGCAATGCCCTGCCAGGCCCCGCCAAGCCAGAGTGGAAGTGGAAGGCATGACCCTGTCAGCAACAGTCTTGACAACCCAACTCCAAGGTGCTGCCGAAGACAGAAGTGTGTGGGAACAACACTGGCCTACTGCTTGTCTGGGACAAGGTCCCTGTTGGTGCCAGGCTGGGACCCTAGAGCCCCAGGGGGCTTCCCCAGAGCCATCTCTTCACCCCTGGCTCCTGTGAGTGGTGGCAACAGCACAGTACTCTAGTCATAGGGACAACTGTGAACGTGTTCCCCAGGAGCCTGTTGAAGCTATAACTCCAACTGGCAGGGCAAGGGCAGCGCACAAAGCCCAGGTTGGTGGGGGGTCAGGGCAGGGTCCCCAGGAGGGCGCAGTCCTGGATGGGAGCCAACTCCTAAGTCATCTCCTGCTGATGCCTTCCAGGTGTTAGGGTGGCAGCCCCAGTTCACAGGAGGAAAATGAGCCAGGAAATGGCAGGGGCCCTGATGGACCCCAAGCCACCCTGAGGATAAGACACCAGGTCTTCCAGCCTCCACGGGGTAGTCTTTCCGTGGGAGGTGGCAGAAGGCACAGAGGAAGGCCTGGGGGGGTCCTGTCTGACGCTGGCATGCAGGGAACCTGCCATTCCAGAAAGAAGTAAGGATAAGCTATGGCAAGAGAAAATCTGGGTGCAGGGGATCCCTGCTTAGTATGGGAAAGCTCCCTGGGCTTCAGGGACACCATGGGCCCCGGCCCCCTCAGGTCTCACAGTAGCCCTGCCTGCTGCATGGGTAGGACTGGGGGCCGCAGGGGTGAAACAGTCTGCCTTGGTCTGAGGGAGGCACTGGAGTCCAACCTCTGTGGACCTCCCATCCCTTTCCCGGGGTCACCTCTTTGTCTCAGGTGGTCCCTTGATCCCAATAATAAAGGTAAGGATATCTCCCATTTTAAAAAATGGAGGAGTAGCTTGTCACAGAGTTATTTTTTAGTTTAACTGGTATCAGAAAGGATAAGCACTTAGCAGGCCAAAGAATGAAATCCTCTCCGAAGCTGCATCCACCCACTGTCACATGACTGCATCAAGGTCATGCTGGTCAAGGGCACCCTTTTCACTCTGCTCCTGGGGGTGTCCTGCAAGGCTGGGATCCAAGGAGCTTCCAGCATGCAGCTGGGCTTTTGCAAGTCTTATCTCCTGAGCCACCCCTGCGCCCAGGAGGGGGAGGACAGAAGGAGGTAGTGCTAACAGTGGGGAGGAAGGGGGAAGCAGCCTCCTCTGCTTGGCTTAACTTCCTCCAAAAGGTCTTCAGGGCCTGCAAGCACCAAGGAAAGCCACCTGGGGTGCCCACTTTTTTCTCTGGGGGCTCTGAATGGATACAGAGAGAGAAGAAACACCTTTGTGCAGCTGAAGGCCGTGCAGCTGAGGCAGCGCCCCTCAGTGCTCCCAGCAACTGGCATAGCTGAGGCCTGGTGCAGCTACTTCTCATCAGCTGAAGGGCTCCAGGGAAGCTCCAGGACTCCACACCCAGCCAGCCATGCATCTGGGACCCATCCCAGCCTCACCCTGGTGTCCCTGGCTCCTAGTACAAGAGGACAGTCTCTACCGTGCAGGTCAGCCTGACAAGGCCACCATTCAAGCCTGACCCCCTCAATGAAAGGCTTCTGTCCAGGCCCTGCCTTTTCCCTGGTCACTCAGGGAAGTGACAGTGATGCAGCGACAGTGCCACCCCTAAAGCCGCACCTCTGTGCTTTGGCACAGCCACTCAGCTCCCAAGGTCAGGCTTCACTTCTTCCTAAGCCTCCACTTTCAGGAAGTCTTCCCTGCATACCCTCACCTGGAGCTTACAACGTCTGTGTGCAGAATGAGCACTGGGTCACTGGCTCTGGCTTCTGTGTTATTCTGCAGCTGCGGCTTCTCTGCTTAGACTAAAACCGCCTTCATGCCGCGGGCACATCTCTCTTATAGCAGAGATGTTCAGTTAGGGGTTAGAATCCCAGACAAGTTACTCGAGGTTTCTGAGCCTCGGCTTTTCACCTATGAAACAGGAACACCACTACTTCCGGGCAGAGTGGTTGGTAAATTCAGAAGTTAATTTTAAAGCCGTGTGGTACATCACACTGAGCCCACCACGGCGCCAGGTGAAGATGTACGGGGGATGTTGTAGCACCACAAGGACCCCCGTGAACACTCAGGAAATAGATGACTTCAAGGTATGTTAGCACTTAAAGTACAACACCAGCTAAGTTCTAGTGGTGACTAAGCGTGTTAGGACTATAGTCACGGAGCCTGTGGTCTGAATGTTTATGTCTACCCAGACTTGCACAATGAAATCCTAACTTCCAGAGAGGTGGTAGGTATTAGGACCTGGGGCTTTGGTGGGTGACCAGACCATGAGGACAGGGCTTCCATGAATGGGGATAGTGCCCTTACAAAATAGGCAGAAAGGAACTCCTCACCCCTCCACCCTATGAAGAAACTGCCATGTAGCCCAAGTATAATACAGAAAGGGGCCCTCAGATGCCCAATCTGCCAGTACCTTGATCTTGGAATTCTTGGCCTCCAGGACTATTGAGAAATAAATGTCTGTTGTTTTTATACCACCAAGCTTCTGTTTCATCACGGTGCCTGATTATTAAGACACAGAGTCCCCGAGGTCCACCAACCACCCAGTACTGGAAACAAGCTCCACTCACAAACTGCAGCCACAGGAACAGGCTCAGAAAACTCCCTTGGGCACTGGCCCCATATACCAAGAGTGGCAGGTACTCAAGAGGCTGAGGCAAGAGAATTGGCTAAGCCCAGGAATTAGAGGTTGCTGTGAGCTGTGACACCACAGCACTCCACCGAGAGCGATAAAGTAAGACTGTCTCAAAAAAAAAAAAGAAAAAAAGAAAAAAGAAAAAGAAAACCCCCTTGGGGCCCTTCTTTCTACAGCCCATTTGGTGTTTCAGGGAGTATAAACATCACCTGCCCCATGCCTCTGGGTTCCTGAAGGAATGCCCCAGGGCTCCCAGGAGGGGCAATGCCCATAGCTCAGTGAGTAGGGTGCTGGCCACAAACATCCAGGCTGGAGGGTTCAAATCTGGCCCCAGCCAGCTAACCAAAAATGACAACTGTAACAAAAAAT